GAACCTTAGCCTGCGTCGCATGGCGGTTTTGGTTGGGCGTGCTAAGTAATAAAGGCCGGCGAGGGCAGAGAAACCGCGAGGAGATTGGGGCGGGAACAACTTGAAAAACCGCCTGCAAGGACGGGGGGCTTTTTTGAGTCGGTCCGTACGCCAGCCTTTTTTCTCGCGGCTTCGCCGCTCGTTCTCGCGCGCTTGGCGCGCGAATTTCGCGTCTACGCCGCTCGTGTGCCCGGCTCGACAAAACCGGCTACTCGAACGTGGGCTATTTGGTCGTGAGTAAATCTCGAAACAAGCAAATGCCAAAGTAAACTATAGCGTTGACTTCGTCGGCCACAGAGAATTGGCAATATTCTTCAAGTTCTTTATTATAGGAAGGGAGTATACTCCCTTGACTATCAAGATTGTCAGTCGGGACATTAGGGGAACATACCATTTTCACCTGGGATGGGTGAGGGGGTGGTGCTCTGGCCAGTTTTTCCAAGTCACGGGGATGATCGAAGTATGTTTGTTTCTTGGTTTGAAATTTTCCGTTCTAAGATTTTCTGGGACAAACCTTTTTTAGCTGTGAATTTATTGAAGTATTCAAAGTATTCGTTCTTTTTTGGTGTTGATTTTAGCTTCCACGGATCATCCCCGCCACTTGGAATCTGAAGTACCCCTCCCGTGTAGTACTTCAAAGGCATAGGAAAATGATGTAGCACTTCCAAAAAAAAAAAAAATACACTTGTTTCACAGCCTGTCAATACCTAGTAGGTGTCTATAAAAGGAATCGACTGCAGAACAGGAGCCAATTTTTTTTGCCCTTTTCACGCCATCACTGCGAAGCGGACTTGGAGCGCGAGACAGGTGCGATGCCTGGAAAACAAGTTCTGCAGGCTGTAAAAGAAATTAAAATATCAAATAAAGCAAGCTTGTTTCTAATTCTATTTCGATGAGCCTATTTTGTTGTCGAAAGCAAACGTGAAAAATCGTACTAAAATTCGTGACAGTATGCTAACGTGACTTAAGCGTGTGACCGCTTTCCGGTCACACGCCAAAGGTCATGCGATCTTGTGCGATGTTTATTATCTACTGACGAACGGTTGAAGTGATGAAAGGTTTTCAAAATCGAAGTCACTAGTTTGCGGTGAATTTTCATTCCTCTTTGTCTCCCGAACAGAGGGAATGAAGTAAACTCTTGTAACTCTTGCTTCTAAAGGACCGCAGTGACGTGTTGTGACTTTATTTTAATCCACGGCCGGATTGCTCGGACGCAGTTGCTAAACAAACGTACCGGTAAGTTTATCGTTTGGCTTAAAAGTATGGATTTTGTGACTTAAAACGACGCAACTGAAGTTGGAAATAACCTTCCTCGCTGTAAAAACGTTTTACAAGCGATGGTGAGTAATCCGTTCATGTAAAACTTTTGTTTTGGTTTGGCAACCGTCCTCAAGCCGTCTAATTTGCATACATTTTCCCTATGCAATAGCTCTCACCGCTCTCTTTGCTGTCAGGATGTTATTTGATTTCCAGAGGTAAAACTTTCCAGTAATTTAGTGCAATAACCAAGCTACCATTTTATGTTGATTTTATGATCAAGCGGCATATACCAGATGCCTTTTATAATAGTCAAAGTTAGCCTTCATTTTCTAGCATGACCAACGTCACAAATATGGCCTCTTTAGACTTGTCGATTATAAAAATATGAAATATTGTTTTTCAAATTTTCTTTTCAGAATTTAAAGAGTAAGAATGTAACTATAATTCGCTGAAGTTTCAATATCAGGGAATGTTTCTTACGCGTTCACTCTTCTCTCAAAGTTGCCATTGCATGCTGCCGTATTTTGTGCGAAAAATTGGCGTAAAATCGATTTTTCAAACTTTTTCTAATTTCTCATTTAAAATGAATCGTTTGAACTCAAAACTATTTTTCCTTAAATTAGGTCACTAAAAGGGATGTTTTGGCTAAAGAATAAAAAATTCGATTTTTTGATGAGTGTCGTGCGATTCTCGATTTTCTCAGAAAATGGCTCTTAAATCTCAGTAGGAAAAAAATAATGATGTTATTCACCGGCCTAGGTCGGTCCACGGTCGGTCTGAGTACCGCTCTCGGCCTACGGCCTCGGGCGGTATTCAAGACCTCGGGCACAGTTTCTCACAATACGGACCTCCCAGCCGGTGAATAATATAAACCTATAATGTGCGAATTCGAAATAAATTTTAAGAATTTCTTTTTTGTTGTTGGCGCTCTCATCTCAGTAATGATGATCTAATTTCTGTCTTCGTAAACATGTATGTTGCGTTTTGTGACTGCCTCCAGGTTTGAAAACTGGTATGGATTTTAGAGGTCAGGTCTTAAAACGGGTGTGGAAAATGACATGTTTTGGTCTGAAATAGGGTCAGGATAAGGAGAACCGGGCGGCACACCCTCCTCCAATGATTCTCCCCCAGTAACACCTCCCCCCCCCCCCATGGTGTTTCTGACAAGTTTTTTTTTTTTTTTTTTTCGGTTAGCTGTTTGTGTATTTGACATTCTTGTAGTTCCTGGGTTACCCTAATATCCTAACCTTCATTATAGTTTTTACCAAACGTTTTTACCATGAATATTCTTCGCTTTCTTTGTCACGTCAGTTTTGCGGTGTGTAGCTACCATTTTTTTCAGATTTTAGCATGTCGAAAAGATTTGAAATAAAAGGCTTGCAGAATCAATGATGAACGTCTCTGTATCTAACAAACAATATACCACACGGAAAATGCTGTGCACGGTATTTCCGAGATCCCTTTTTTTGTATCAGAAATCTCACTCTTTCGATTTCTGGAAGGACGTCAACAACTCGTACGAAAATACCGTACGCCCGCACTTTCCATG